TGACGCTGGGGTGGTCGATGAGGACGTGGCAGTCGGGATGCCGCCCAAACAGTACCGGCGGATCCTCCGCCCGATCCGCATCCGCGCCGCGCCGCGCAGCCTCCGTCGGCGGCCCGTTGAGGAAGATGTGCTTCAGCACGACGCCGCCCTTGGCCACCGCGAACGCCGCGATCGGAGACCCCGCCCCCGCCTCCACTTCCTCCGCCGCCGCCGCCGTCGTCGCCATGCCTGCGCGTGTGGGCTGGTTGGGTGGGCGGGGCGAGGTGGAATCGAGATGATGACGCTACGCCTCTGTGTGTGTAAAACGCAGCTCAAGCGGAGGCGGAGGGGATTCGAAATGTGGAGGAGACGTTGGAGCCGGGGCGGATTTGAGAGCTTTGCCAATTGCAACGGCTAGAATTTTATTGTTGGAATATAATAATTGGAAGGGGCCGACGCGTCACCGCGTGAGTCACGCGCTCGCCCTGGCTAATGACGCTTGTGCGGGCCCATTTTCAATTTTCCTTTCTTTTTCCAACACCATTTTCTATTTTTCTGTTCACAAAAATGTCAAGTTCTGCCCCGAAACATAAAGACGTCGAAAGGTAAAGAAAAATGATCAAAATAGACCGACTGTCCCATGTACCGTGTCGGTCACCTCGATCCGCTGCCACGTGTCTCCATTGGGCTTGTGAAGCGTCTCCGTTTGTCTTTCGGAATAGCTTCACACACGATGATTTCTAGACGACATGTGCACGATAGTAGGATCTCACGGTCCTTATTTAGACAGGAATTTAATCAAACGCTGATAAGCTAGTGTCGTGCATGCATCGGCTGCGAAATCGTCGGCTGCATAGCACTGCTCTTTGTCTTTTCTCTAAAACTCTCCCCATCCTTTTTGTTTTCTTTGCACTCTTGCATCGCCTGTGTAGATCCTCTCCCCCTCGCCCCCTCCCCTCCTCCCTGCCTCCATATCAAGACAACAATGGCAAGTGGAGCGCTTTTGCAGCTCTGCAAGTCAACAACGCCATTGTGCAAGCTACTACTTCCATTTGCCACCCCCCCAACCCCCGTGAGGACAACCTATTGTTGGAACACTTGCCTCATGCCCTCTATTGTAGGCTTCGGGAGGGGGCAGGGTTGTTGCTGTAGGACTAACCACTGCTCTCTGTCGGGATTGCAAGGGGTCGCATTTGATGTTGCAAGGCTCGTTCTGTAGCCAGTGCAAGGAAACCATGAGTGATTTAGGGGAGTTATTGTGGTGTTGTGAAGGACTGATCACATGCTCATCACAATGTTGCAAGGGGGTAGCGCCCTATGCTACAGGAGGCGGGCTATGAGACATAAGGAAGGGAACCACCAACACTTTAGGGGAGCCGCCACGGTGATGTGAAGGATGATGGATACATTTTGCATCGTATTTTACTTAGTGTCTTTGCACCGTGGACTTAGGATTTTTGCATTTAACCATGTCCACTTGTTCATTTTTGTCTGATTTCACCAGACCTCTACAATTAGGAGATTTGAGGCATTCTTTGAAAAATTCTTACTTTTGTTGAATACCGTGTTGATTTGATGTCATATGAACCTTTCATGGAGAGGAGCACCAGAGAAGAAAACCAAACATCGTTTGGAGGATCTAGAAGGGCAGGTGATACGATGAATAGATAGACCTCCACTAAATATATATCCGTAGGGGGAATAAGCAAAAGGACATCCACCTTTGCAATTGCTTTTATCACATAGGCATCGACATCAAGATGCATCACCTTCATTGCTAGCCACGCCATCCTCATCGACTCTCTCATCTATCTCATTGTAATCCTCAAATCTATTATAGATCTGTATGTATATCACTTTAATAGCTCATCCGCATATAATTATCTCCGTGATGTCTAGTGCCCCCATGTTGGTTATGCCATGGGCCAACCAACCCGACCCATGGCCCTACTACGAGATGGGACCAAAAGTCTCGGTGTACAAGACAAGACAACTGGCGCACGAAGGGACTCCCCCTTACCGACTTAGATCCTGTAACCCTAGACCCCGGTACCTATATAAGCCGAGATTAGCTAGTCGAATTGATGAACAACATAACCTAGAGCTTTGCTCAATCCCTCGATCTTTTTAACCCTTGTGCAATCAATATACACAAGCAAGAGTAGGGGATTAGGTAGAACTCTGTCCATGTTACCATTCGATTTACTCGTTTGGTCGGGTATCATATCGAGGCATCTGCTGAAAAATACTCCTACAGTGAGCACTTCGGGCCCACAACTAGCGACAAGGAGGAGCATCAACAACTCGTGGGCGTCACTCATCGCTCTCAGGAGGAGGAGGACGACTTTGCCTACATCAACAAGCTGTGAGGCTCGGACGAGGACTAAACGACGATGATGTAGTAGTTTAAGTAGTAGTATCGACATTGCATATTTTGAAAATATAGCTTAACCTGATATGGAGATGACATTTGCAAGTGTCGCTTTTCTTTACTGTTGATTCTGTGTAATTTTCAATCTCATGCGAACGGCGTACAAGCAGAGAAATAATAAGACCAGTATGCTTTTCAATGTAATTTTATTTTGTACTGATCGTTTTACATCGAGTTGTCTATCTGTTTACTAGCTTTTTTCTCTCTTGATATTAAGACCTTTGGTGTCTAATATTGCTAGTTTAGAAAAGTTCAACGAGATATTCAAAAGTTATGCGTGGATTAAAAGTTGGCTGGTCAGTGTGGGAAAAGAATAGCTGCTCGTGGTTTTTCAAACTCCATGAGTTGCTCATGGATGATTCACTCACCAAATCTGTTGTTGGTAACTTAGTCAAGGAAATCAAATATTCTATGAAAGAACGGAAGTTCAAACAGAGTAAGATTGCTAGGTCGCAAAATAGGATAGTTCATTGTCTTGCGAATTATGCATGGACAGCTCGAAGCACCGTTGTTGGTTGCGTAGAGGTGCAGATTTTGTTCAAGATCTTGTTATAGCTAATTGTAACCCTATTGAACTGAAATAAAAATCCTATCCCTCGAAATAAAAGTTTCCTCTCTCCCGTAGTATATCCATCCAGGATTTCAATTCAAATAATTTTAGCTCGAAGATTTCGGTTTCAAGCGCTATGGTGACAAGGGAAGGGAATATCCGAATATGTAGCCTTTGACATGTGGGGTCCAATTCTGAAACACGGCATGTCAGTCCGACGGGCTGGCCTCGTTTCATTTCCCCTCCCTCTCCGCCGCCGTCGTTGCTGGCCTCCTCCGGCCACTGCACTGCGCACGGAATCCATCCCCACGTCCGTGATCTCACTCGCGCCGTATCCCGTACGAGCATGGCGGCGGTCTGCAGGGGGCGTCGCGGGGGCGGCGAGGGAGAAGGTGGTGCTCTCACGGAGGAGGAGGGGCAGCACAAATTCGGGCCATCTTCTCGATTTCAGTCCGCGCTTGGGCTCGGCGCTCTGGTCCGCGCCGCCGGTGGGAAAGCACCGCAAGGTGAGGGAGAGGCAAGGAATGGACGACCTTCTGCTTTGTTTTCCTTTACCGATTTACCTTCAGCGTGAGAGATTGTTCAGGTAACAAATCGCCCCTGCTGGTCCCATAGTCAGCAGATCGGATGGTGGTATCATATTCTCGGTTTGGTTGCTGATAGAGACTTGCATTCTAACCTGGCATGGAATTTTCTAGTCATGAATGTGTGAAGCAGTGCGTCCATGCTTTGTCTGGCTCCAAGGTGGGAACATGTGGTGCTGCAAATCACACTGTCACCCTTGAGCCTTGAGCAACACTGGCACTATGTCCACACCTGCTCGGCCGGCAGCTTGGTCGAGAATTCAGGCCTGCTGCCGCTCTCTCTGTCGTTCCTCGTGTCAAGAATCGTAGCGTCCTCATTAAGGATATCCTGATGTCATCGTGTAAACAGAGACAAGCAATATGTGTATGCTGTCACTTTCTCCTTTTTCTTTCGACGAAATGGGTTCGTTGGTCACTAGTGGGTAGTTGTGTAGGGAAATGCATAATTTAGTTTTTCAAAAAGTATTATATGTTAAAAGGCTAAAGTTTGATACCTTCTTCCTGAAGTAGATATTGCCATGCCTATAAATGAAGGAGTAACCAAGCAGCTCCTAGTTACTTGTAGCTATGGCAGTTCAGATGACATGATCACGCTGTTTTGGGGGATGTTTGTGCAACCGTCAAACGATGGCAGGATGGTGGTGGTGGACATGAACTCAAGGTGCGTTAGTCTCTAGTAACTTTTGAGTCTTGTAAACCATCTTGTTTTTAGAGTTCCATCGAATTTTATCCAAGTGTTTTAGGTGGCTCATTCGAGGAGCTACATGGTGCTTGTTAGTTGATTTAAATGACAACAAGGATGATTCCCACAAACAACTTTTTATGGGTCGTATTTCTCCTTCCACCTTTTTTAACATCTCCTCACTCCTACCTGTAGTATGATGATTACTGTATGCCCAGATGGCGAAAAAGTATATCTGAAGTAAAAAAAAAAACATAACCAATCCTGATCACAATTTGGGATGGATCTGAAGAAGGTGCCTGTTTTGTATCTCCTTATAACAGGTCATCCATGACTAAATTTAGAAAATAATAATTCATTGTGTAATAATTTGCAGAATTGACCATACGCGTAACATATTGGTCCATATGCGATTGAGTTCTCTAGCATCTGCTTCAGTAGTTTAGGCAGAAGGTTCGTGAATCAAAAGCTTTCACATGATTGTAGGACTGTAGGAAATTCAGATATCTCAAATCTAATCAGATTAGTAAAAGACTATGGTTATTGTAGTAAATTTGCGTTGGCTGGAAGCCTGTAATTTCACTTATGTTGTTCTTTACTTACTTGCAGAAAGACAGTAGGCAAGTCCTGAGGTAGAGATTGAAGAATAATCGGTTAGGTAGTACTTGACATGACAAATGATTTTTCACTAACATCAACTATTGGCTATCTAAAAATGCCCTTATTTTTTGTTTGCATGTAACCAAGATCTTCAACAAAGACAGCTAGCCAGCCATGAAGATTACTACAATCATGCAGTTTATCTTGGGGCTCATTGTTTGCAATGGACATGTCATCATCTGTGGTTCCCTGTATGGAAATGAGACAGACCAATTATCACTGCTTGAATTCAAGAATGCAATTACCCTCGATCCAAAGCAATCCTTGATGTCCTGGAATGACAGTACCCACTTTTGCAATTGGGAAGGTGTTCATTGCAGAATGAAGAATCCATACCGTGTCACTTCTCTTAACCTTACAAATCGAGGTTTAGTTGGTGAAATCTCTCCTTCACTTGGAAATCTGACATTCCTAAAACATTTACTCCTACCGACAAATGGGTTAACTGGGACAATTCCTCCATCCCTTGGTCATTTGCATCGCCTTCAAAACCTCTACCTGAGCAATAACACACTGCAAGGGAGGATACCTAGTCTGGCAAACTGTTCCAACCTCAAGGCTCTATGGCTGGATAGAAATCAACTAGTTGGACGAATTCCTGCAGACTTGCCTCCTTACCTTCAAGTGCTGCAACTTTCAGTTAACAATCTGACTGGAACCATCCCTGCTTCTCTTGCCAACATCACAGTGCTAAACCAGTTTAACGTTGCGTTTAATAATATTGAGGGCAACATCCCGAATGAGATTGCAAAGTTACCTGCGCTCCATATTCTGAACGTGGGTAGCAATCAATTGACAGGCATGTTTCAACAGGCCATCTTGAACCTTTCTACTCTTGTTACCCTTAACCTTGGTCCAAATCATTTAAGTGGTGAGGTACCATCCAATCTTGGTAACTCTCTACCCAGTCTCCAAAACTTCGCATTAGCCGATAACTTCTTTTATGGGAAAATCCCATCTTCTTTGATCAATGCATCCCAGATACACATTTTTGATATATCAAAAAATAATTTCACAGGATCGGTGCTTCGGTCCATTGGCAAACTTTCCGAACTCACATGGTTAAACCTTGAGTTCAATAAACTCCAAGCACGTAACAAGCAAGATTGGGAGTTTATGAACAGCTTAACCAATTGTACTAAGCTAAATGCCTTCTCGGTAGAGGGGAATCATCTACAAGGCCACATACCAAGTGCATTATCCAACCTTTCCATTCAGCTTCAACATCTATATTTGGGGCGGAATCAATTGGAAGGAGGTTTCCCTTCTGGCATAGCGAACCTTCCGAACCTGATTGTTTTAGGAATGAATAGCAATCGATTTACAGGTACCATTCCTCAATGGTTAGGAGCTCTAAAAAATTTGCAAATACTAGGTTTAGCTGACAACATCTTTACAGGGTTTATTCCATCCTCCCTTTCCAATTTATCTCAATTGGCATATCTCCTTCTAGACTCGAACCAATTTGTTGGCAACATACCACCAAGCTTTGGAAATCTTCAAAACCTTGAAATACTGAACATGTCCAGCAACAATCTTCATGGTTTAGTGCCAAAGGAGATCTTTAGAATTCCAACACTAAGGGAAATTTATTTATCTTTGAACAACTTCAATGGACAACTTCCTAACGACATTGGTAATGCCAAACAACTCAGAAATCTAGAACTCTCTTCAAATAGTCTATCTGGAGATATTCCTAGCACTCTGGGTGAGTGTGCAAGTTTGGAAGATATCAAGTTGGACTGGAATGTTTTCAGTGGAAGCATCCCCACTTCATTAAGCAAAATAAGTAGCCTAAAAGTTCTTAGTGTTTCCCACAATAACATTACTGGATCAATTCCAGTGTCTCTTGGCAACCTACAATATCTTGAGCAACTAGATCTGTCATTCAACCATCTCGAGGGGGAGGTCCCAAAAGAAGGAATCTTCAAGAATGTAACTGCTCTGCGGATCGAAGGAAATCATGGGCTTTGTGGTGGGGCTCTGCAGTTACACTTAATGGCATGTTCTGTTATGCCTTCAAATTCAAGAAATCACAAACTGTTTGCTGTACTCAAAGTGTTAATTCCAATAGCTTGCATGGTCTCACTTGCTATGGTCATACTTCTCTTATTGTTCTGGAGGGGGAGACATAAGAGAAAATCCATGTCGTCGCCATCACTTGATAGAAATCTTCCCGAAGTTTCTTTCAGTGATATTGCTAGAGCAACAGACGGGTTCTCAACATCCAGCATAATTGGAAGAGGGAGATATGGTACTGTGTATCAAGGAAAACTATTTCAAGATGGAAATTATGTTGCCATAAAAGTCTTCAACCTGGAGACAAGGGGAGCACCAAATAGCTTCATTGCAGAATGTAATGTCTTAAGGAATGTGCGGCATCGTAATCTGGTTCCTATACTAACCGCATGCTCAAGCATTGATTCTAACGGAAATGATTTCAAAGCTCTAGTGTATGAGTTCATGCCTCGAGGAGACTTGCATGGACTACTGTACTCAACTCAAGACTATGAGAGCTCTTTAGATTTGATACATATTACAATAGTTCAAAGGCTAAGCATTGTTGTGGATATAGCAGATGCACTGGAGTACCTACACCATAACAACCAAGGAACTATTGTTCATTGTGATATGAAGCCTAGCAACATTCTTTTGGATGACAACATGACAGCTCATGTTGGAGATTTCGGTCTTGCAAGGTTTGTAGTTGATTCAACGGTATCATCATCCGATGATTCATACTCAGCCTCTTCAATTGCGATAAATGGAACTATTGGATATGTTGCTCCAGGTAATTCCAGTTTTCATATTTTCGTATTGTATTATTTAAACTGAGAGTAACTTCTGCTCATACTAACACTGGAATTACATTATTGTTGCATTTGAACTACAGAATGTGCAACAGGTGGTCATATTTCGACTGCTAGCGATGTCTACAGCTTTGGAATTGTTCTATTTGAGATATTCTTACGGAAGAGGCCGACAGATGATATGTTCAAAGATGGACTAAACATTGTGAAATTTGTTGAAATGAATTTTCCTGCCAGGATATCAGAAATTATTGAACCTGAAGTACTTCAAGATCAGCCTGAGTTTCCTGAAAAAACTCTAGTGGCCGTGAAGGAAAATGACCTGGACTGTGTAAGCTCAGTGCTAAACATCGGGCTTCGCTGCACCAAGCCATACCCGAACGAGCGCCCTAACATGCAGGAAGTGGCTGCAGGGCTGCATGGAATCAAGGAAGCTTATCTCAGAGGGTACTAAGGTAATCACCATTTTTAGTGTTCAGTGCTGCAGTGTTATTTATAGTCTACACAAGGTTTTATCACTCACTACATTTGGCAGCACCGTATTTTTGGAGTTTTCAGAGAATCCCTTCTTTTTAGAAACCATAGTTTTAAATACTTTGATGCGTTTGGTATTTGGTGTCAAGAAAAAAAATGAAGTTTTATAAACCGTAGTATTCCTGAAACCGTGGTTTTTCTGCTGTATTTCAAAAAGAGGCCCTGGCCTCTTTTATCTAAACCGAGAAATGCGAGCGCCTCCTTGTTGCTCCCCTGCTATTATTTCTAGCGAGTCCATCCATCTTCTTCCGGCCGCCATGTCACCTGCAAACCCATTAGCATAATTTTTTCGAGTGAGGTATCCAATCAGTAAGTAGATTGGTTTATCTAGGAGAGATACCCGGTCAATCAGGGCCATCAGGCATTAGCAAATTCCATGCGCGCGTAGTGTGGTACGTAACTTTCCAGGTCAGCGATCAGCTAGCTGGATTTCCTCTTCCCACCGGAGCTCTCGACCATCGGGTCGTGCACACATACTTCACATCCTTCCTAGAAATGCAGGAGGCAGGGTACACTTCCTTCACATCCTTTGTAGAAGTGCAGGAGGCAGGGAGAGACATACAAGAGATAGCTCTAGACTGCTACGGATCCTACCATCTACTACTCCCTCCGTTCCTAAATACTTGTCTTTCTAGGCATTTCAACAAATGACTACATACGGAGCAAAATGAGTGAATCTACACTCTAAAATATGTCTACATACACCGTATGTAGTAGTCATTTGAAATGTCTAGAAAGACAAATATTTAGGAACGGAGGGAGTAGATGAGGATGTGTTGACATCGTGCATGGCGAGGATGCATGCAGCCAGCGGCTGTTAGCACACGCTGATTAATCGAGTCATGTAGCTCGTTAAGTGTAGCTGAGTTAGGTCTAGTTGTCATCCATGCGTATCTGTAGGTCAAAATTACGGCAAGACAATGCTGGCCAAACACTTGGGTGGTATTACCAAAACTGTTAAAAATGACAGTTTTGAGAAATCGAAGTATGCCCGCGCGTTGGAATGCGTAAGTTCTGGAGTACTGTGGTTTTGAAAAAACGGTGCTACCAAACTAGGCCTGTATTTGCCTTTCTTTTCCGAATAAGAAACACTACTCTTGTAACTGGCGTGAGTACATAAGCTGCGATGTGATGTTGCAGTTTGCTGGCAGGTACGTTCTTGGAAAATGAATATTGGGAGTAAATCACAACGTGCTGGGTGGGCAACACGCTCTGCTTGTGCTGCTCCTCAAGACAGAGCTTCATCCCTGATGATGGTCTCCCATGCTGTTTGGGTGATGGATCTGTTTAATTCGGGATAACATCTTGACTCTTTGTTGTACCTTTTCTATGTGGAATCAGCCAACCTTTATTAGTAGTTTGAATTAAGGCTACATGGTCGGCATGTTGCTAGTACTATGTAATATTACCTCCGTGCCGAATTACTTATCTTAGATTTGTCTAGATAGGGAGTATGGTGTAGTAGTACGCCCGGGCAAGTATTGTAGAGCTGGCAACTATTTCTTACAGCCTAAATCTACATCCCATATCTGTTTTCTTGATTTATGTTTGTACCAAGTTTGTTGTTCGAACATTTCATAAGTTGAAGGTTTGAGGTCGAATTCCTCATCTTATACATTATTTTGTTATAAAGCAGTGGATTATCCAAATTCCCTGTGTAATCCAATTTGGAGTTGGTTCACACTTCACTTGCACCAAGTCTGATGCTTGTTAACAAATCTCGATTGTCGTTGCTAGCTGTGATTGTTTGATTCTCGGTAGATCGACGTGTGCCTCTAATACCTAACCTCGTTGCTGATAACAAAGCCAATTGGCCGTCCGGTAGCTGTGTTTTGAATTTCAGCCATCTCGGCCATGGGCGAAAAATATCTTCTGCCGAAAATATGGATTTTGGTCCAAATTTGGTCAAATTTAAATCAAATTTGTGTCATATTTTGATCAAATTTTGGCCGAAATTTTTAAAAATGGCCGAAATTCGGCCATTTCAGTCTGGGGCGAAAAATTTCACAAACCGAGAGTCAAAACCCAGGCCGGTAGTGACAACTAGAGTTGACACAGTTGGAGCAAGAGGAGAAAGAAGAAGGAAGAATGACAACGAGGAGAAAAAAAGGACAATTAAACCCATCAAGGGGAAAGAAGGGGCGACATGTGGGCTATGCCACGTGGAGCTCACCAGTTGGATGACGTGAGAACCGTTTTTTTTAAATGATGAAGGTGAGGATCTTTTTTGAGAAAGGTTTTTCTTTGTTTTTTTAAGATGGAGGTGACCGGTGGACTATGCCATGTGGCACTCGCTGGTTGTATGAGGCGAGGAAAGTTTTTTTTAGATGGAGGTGAGGTTTCTTAGAAAGGTTTTCATTGTTCTTTTAGATGGGGTGGGTTTTTTTAGATGGAGGTGAGGAAATGTTTGTTTTTTTGAGATGGACATGACTTTTTTTTCTTTTTTCCCTAAGATAAAGCTGGTGGAAACGAGCGCACAACTTCATCTCAAACAGTGCGCAACGGCATGCTCCAGTCACTAGCTTAGGATGTCCAACGAGCTCGGGCATGGTGGGTGAAAGGCTATGTGATGATGTCATGTGCCCACGGTATCTGAAGCGAGTTTTGTTGTAATGGGCAGGCCATGTAGCTTAATACTTTTTCGTCCGCATAATAATCAAATTCACATCGTTCCTTTATTTTTCTCACCGGCTTTTCTAGGCGGTTTTCTTTGGTTTTTTCTAGGACGGGTTTCGTCCAGTTTCCTTTTTTCTTTTTTCTTATTTATTTTTTTGTATTATTTTTCTCTTTTCTTTTTCAAATTCATGAAATTTTTCAAATTAAAAAATCTACAATTCATAAACTTTTTTGAATTTATGAACACTTTCAAAATCGATGAACTTTTTCAAATTCATAAATTATTCTGAAATTTGTGAGTTTTGAATCCATGAACTTAATTTGAACTGCAGAACCCACAAACTCTTGTCAAATTTGTTTACATTTTGGAAATCTATGAACCTTTTTCCAATTCATGAACTTCTTTGAATTTCGTGAACTTTTTAAAATTCATATATTTTGAATTCCATGAACCTTTTCCAAATTTACGGAACCCACAATCTTTTTACAGATTTGTGAAATTTTTTGAAACCCGCAAACTTTTTAAAATTCCCAAACTTCTTCTAAATCCACAAAAAAAAATCAAATCTCCAGAACCCATTTTTTTCAAATTCGGGAATATTTTGAAAGCCGTGAACTTTTCACATATTAATGATTATTTTTTATCCGAGAACCTTTCAATTTCACAAAGTTTTTTTCCAAATTTGTGAACTTCTTTTGAATGCATGAACTTTTTTCAAATCCTCAACTTGTTTTTCAAATTCGTGCACTTTTTTAAACTTGCAAACATTGTTTCGAATTAGTGAACACCTTTAAGAATTTATGAACCTTTTTGTAAATTCATGAACATTTTCTAATTTCATTAAAAAAAACAGTTAGCAAGCGACCCGAGCAAACGATGTGGGCGACAAAATAATGGGCTAGCGAGCGACAAGGTTTGGCGACTGAGCGATTGAGTGCTATTGGGCCGCGGCCACTTAGCCGCACGTGAGCAACTATCGGGCGCTAAAGGCATTGGGGATAAGCTCTCCTCCACAAACCACCTTAGCCCACTAGGTTTTCCATGTAACCTTAAGCATCATCCTCTTTTATAAGAGAGGCATCGCCCATTTTAATCACCACCTCTTGATACACCTACACCTAGGATCATCATTGTACTTTGTACACCTCCATCAATCAATAAACACAAGCAAGAAGTAGTGTTTTGCCTCTACCACCTGAACATGTGTAAGCTTTGTCCCCCCGGCTACACGCAACACCCTGTTGGAAGGTCTGCCGCATTTCACACCGACAATGACGCATTAGGCAGGTGTTGTGCTTGTTGGAGCTAGGGTCTAGATGTGATCTGCATTCAACCATGACTTTTGCACGTTGGCCTAGATCTTCGTACTCGGGTCCCTCACCTTCATTGTAGACTTGTCGGGATGGGTTGGCCCCGTTCCTCCTCTCTCCGAGGGCCAAGTTCTCATCTTTGAGAACATGGAGTTCGTCATCGGCCAACGCGGTTAATCCCAGCTTCGCGATCCGGCACCCTGTCAAGTCGAGGACGAACAATCTTCTTTTACCCACCCACCTCCCACTTCATCGCCACCGTGGAGTCCATCACACGATCTTGTAAGAGGAAGTGTCCAACGAGGACGAGAGCTCCAGCAATTGCCCGGAGGCGACCATGGCAACCAATCTGATGATGTCTACATGGTGGACACATAAAACGAAGTTGGTTGCAGCAGTAACAAGAACCGCAACACCGAGGAAGACGAGTTCGACTTTGACATTGTCTCAGCCAATCCCGAGGTCCTCTGCATGATGGTCACCAACGCAGATGACAACTCCAAGAAATTGGAGGTGGAGCGGAAGAAGATGCAGCTCATCCACCTTCGCTCGCAGCTTGAGCGTGACGGCATCATGGAGAAGCAGAGTCATTTGATTGCCTCCATCCAACATAATCAAAACCAACAGATCAACAACCCCTCCAACGCCGACCTCACATGTCTGGCAAGCTGAGAGCAAGTGGTTATGACCGGTATCGATGGTGCGGGTGCTGCCACCCCAGCTGCGCCAAAAGTGTCCGCTGCAGGCACGACTCTACCACCCCCGTGCAGAACCTGATGGTGGTTGATAAAGAGATAGCCAACAATGAGATTTTTGCGGATCGTCCGATGGTGGCCAAGCTAGCCGCTACTTGGAACTACCTCCATATCGCAGTGGCTAGTGATGCAGCAACAACAATACACCATCTAGTTATTGGGGACATAGCATGCAATTTCAAAAAAAAAATCCTATGCTCACGCAAGATCTATCTAGGAGATGCATAGCAACGAGGGG